AGCATTGAGCAGTTTATTGATCTTTGCTTGAAAAAAGAAGTACCGCCACGTGCTTTATTTCTCATTTCACATTTAACTGATGCAGGGCTAGGTCAAGGCGATTTCCAATAGTTTTTGTTTTTAAAATAATATGGTGAATTCTCAAAACGCTTGTGCAAAAATTAAAAATGTGAAATTAAAAATAATTTCGTTTCTTGTTTTTTAATTATTCAATTCTTTATTATAGTTTAAGAATTTATTAAAAATAATACCAATTATAATTTAATTTTTAATTATTTTATAATTATCATAATAACAGACGATAAAATAATATTTGATTATAATATAGATTTAAATATAAATTATAATAAATACGCAAGCACACACATTAAACATTAACATAAATTTTTTATTCTATATATCTTTCATCACACACAGTGTTTAAGGATTTTGCAATCCTACATTTAAAATTAATTATTGATAATATATACATAACAATCCAAATGAAATTAAAGCTTTACTATAGCTTATAGAAGAATATTATTTTGCTTTTATAATATTTAATATGATAGAATTATATTTATAAGGAATAGGATTTGTACACTTATTAATTGATTTTATTATATTATTAATACTATAAAACTCTTTAACAGAACAATTTAAACTTCATTAAAAAAATTGGAATTTGTGCATATAATTTAAAAAATAATAGGGATTATACCACTCTAAAAAAATTCATGCTTATATCGTTTTACATTAATTTATAAATAATTCCCTTTATAATAGGAATTTGTTAATTTAATTTTCTTTAATATAGTATCTTTTATATTACCAATTATATTTTGCATTATTGTAAGTTTAACATAATTCTTTTTAAAATACAATTAGAAATAGATTTTTACTAAATTTTCTAAACTTTCAATATAAATCAATTTCTATTATTATTTCTTCAGATTATAAGTGCTTAGAAATCGATAAATGAATATGATCTTGTGTATATAAAAATATATTCAGATTTAAATACATAAAATTTTCATAAATTTTATATTTAGAAAATTATTAGGTTTTTACAAATTGAAAATTAGTATTTTTCTTCTTCGTAACATAAATGAATATTTAAAATTTATGTCAGCTGTAATGACCAATGATCACGATGAGAATATCGTAAGGAATTATAATACGTGTTGCAGTGAATGAAGGTACGAAAGACGATTGAACTTCAAATAGCGAAGCGTATCCCGTTTCCAGGGATGATAAGCATCGCGGTCCATTTTACCAGCCGCAGGCTGTTTCGAAATCGTTTTGCAAAACTTGGCAAATTGAAACTGTTGTAGTTAAAGGACATTCAAGTACTATACCATCTCTCTCTCTCCCTTTCTCTCTTCCTCTTCTTGCATTTAAATGAAAATTACCTGCGTATCTTATACAAGGGAAAAGGCAATGGTGGCGACAGCTTAAACTCCAATCATCGATCTCACATTTCCAGACTTCTCTCTGCTTCGCTCTTCGAGAATTTCATGAATATTCATACATCTGCGAGTGAAGAGTTTAAAGTCGTTAACGCCGCGAGAGGGTAAAAAGAGTCGTTTTTCTTTCCTTTTAACTTTGTTTTAGAGAGATCAGTATAGAGAAATTTTAATGTCTTTATTTTAATATGTATTATAATATTTAAATATGCATAAATACATATTGAGATAAGTGGGAAACAATTAAAATAGTTTAATATAAAAATATTAATAATTTATGTATATCAACGAAAGCTCAGCTCTCTTTTAATAACTTATTTTAAGATAAAAATATACTATAAATAAGTAAGTATTTATAAGTAAAACTTCAATAGTAAGTATCATAATACTAAAGAAAACATTTACGATTAAAGAATAATGGTTAACACATAAAATTCAACCGTTAAGTATCTAGAAATCAATTATTTCAACGAAAATTCTTACTGGGTAGACAGAATTAGTCTAAAAGAGCTAGAAATAAATTCATAATTTTTATCGCATAAAATAAAATAATTTCTCTTTGATCTAGTGAAATATGATTTTATATTTATAAAATATATGAAAAATGCGCACTAAATATAATTGTATAAAATTATATTTAGGATTACTAAAAAGTACTTAATATTATCAAGTTCATATATCTTTTATTTATAAACGACGAAAATAATATTTTATATTCTAATAATTTTAATATACAATATACAATTACATTAATTCAATATAGCAATATGTATATTAATTTTAAAATTTTAAAGAAAAATAAGGAAATAAATTTAAAAATTTTTATTCATAAATTATGTCTTAGTAAAGTTAGACGTTTCCAATTTTATTAGATATAGATAATTCTGAAATTATAAAGTAATACCAATATATTGTAATGGTTTAAGTAAAGTTTTACGTGTATAATTATTAAATACAAATTGCGTATTTGTTTGAAATAATTGCAGTACAGTTTCATTTTCAATAATAATAATAAGTTTTTATAATAATAAGGCTTATATTATATGAAAAAGAAAAGAAAATGAGAGCAGGACTTATTTTTCAGGAACCGTCGTTTAACACTTGGAATTGATTGGCCGGTAAAGTGAAGAGAAGCGGCGGCTGCCAAGAGGATGATTAGACGATTACTTTGTTCGAGATGGACGATCTATACAAACAAAGGCTTTCGTATATATCTCGAAGTGAGGGAGAAAGATGTAGACAAAGAAGAGAGAAAGAGAATGATGTGGTAATAAAAGTAAGTTAAAGAGAGAGATATGTACGACGAGGAATTCCCGAAGCCCCCAGTCACTTGAATATAACAGGAGCTTTCCCTTGCGTTGAAATGTGGTGGAACTTTGAGCAAGATGGAGGTGTCTTCGAGTGTTTTCGCAAGGCGGGAGTCGGACCCTTAGAAAAACAGACGCCAAATTGAATCCCCTCTTACCCCCTTTTACCGGCGTTGAAAGAATATTTCTTCGTCTTATGCGTTTTGGCTTTGTGCTTCTCGTTGTCTCCATTTTTTCCTCTGCGATTGTAAAGGTTGTCCAACTTATTTCTCACTTTCTTTTATCTTTTCATGATAGAATATTTCAGAAAATTTATTGCCAGATTACTCACGTTTTAAGTTAAAAAATATATAAGTTAAAAATAAAAAATATGGATGTTCACTATTATTTAATACATCAAAATTTCTAATGAAATTATTTAATTATGTTCATTTCAATATTTACTTTAATATTTAATAATAAAATACAGATATTAAATAATAATACTATATGTTATTTATACATTATAGTAAATCTACCATTGCAATTCTTATACATTTTTCTGATACTTATTAAAAAGTATACGGTTAATAGAATTGTAGTTGCAAAAAATTATTTATAATTTCAACTGATATTTTAAAAATATAATTTAGTTTGTTTCTAATTAAATAAATTCTTTTAATTATACTTATGACAATTGAATAAATGAATAAGAATTTACGATGTTTATTTATATTGAATTATATTTAAAAATTTTAATTTATATTTAATATATACTTACATTAAATATATGTTAAATATTTACAACTGTATTAAAAAAAATTCTAGATAATGTCAATTATTAATTTTTATTTATTTTAATATACAGAAATTATATTCACTCTTTTTATTATTTCAATAAATATATTATACATGTTTCCTAAAATAAAAATTCTTTAATTCATTAATAATATAATACTAAAAATTTTATATTTTAATTATTTATTAAATTAATAAAAAAATTATTAATTATTATAATTTAATAAAAAATTTGCACTAATCAAAAAATTTTATTTCCATATGTAATATGATATGTGATAATGGTATTTTTTAAGTAAAAAAACTGTAAAAATTACTTTATACAAAATCTATACTTAAAACTAATCATTAAATACAATGAACTTTATATATAAAAAAAAGTAAAACATTCCAAATATTGATTTCAGTTCTTTAACAAACATAACTTAAAAATTTCACAAATTATTAGTGCACTTATAATATATATCATGAAACACTCTGCTTTCTCGATGAACTTCCGCATGCACGTTATAAAGAAGCACAGAAACAGAAAGAATCCATCAACCATGCTCTTGTGTTCCAAAACGCTTATTAGCACGCTTCCATCTCCAATTATCCCTCTATCTTTCTGACGCCTCTATCGTACTCAAAAACCACAAAATCCATTGTCGTGATATCTCTCTCTCTCTCTCTCTCTCTCTCTCTCTCTCTCTCTCTCTCTCTCTCTTTCTTTTCCGTCCTATCTGTTCTCGCCCATACGCTTTCATGACTGCATCGGCGGAGGGTGTGTCCTAAACCCGGCCTTCTCGCCTCCACCTTTCCAACAAGCCAAGTGAGGCGTTTACTGCCTTCGTTCAATCCTCCGTCTGGCTAGTCTTCTCATTGGCCAGCACGTCATAGCAGGGTTATATACATCGGTCGATCTACTAATAGCAGCGCTCCAAGTGCTCCCTCTACTATATTAAAGGTGGTGCCCATGCATCTCTTTCATAGGGGGTTCCCAAAAATTTTTGGAAGGGGCATGCGCCCGCGCATAGTTTGTTAGAAGAGACTCAACCTTCCGTGGAGTGAGAACGCGTTGGTCCGAAGTTGGTTCATATATTTGTAAGCGCAGGCAGAAGTAGTCTCGTTTCGTGTGTGCACGCATGGATCCGCATTACCGTCTCAGTTTCAATCACGAGTCTGTTGAACTCTTTGGCAATGTATTTTTTATATTGTATGCGAGGGTACATTAAATAAACTAATAGTATAAAAAAGGGAAGTATGTAGCAGCTTTGTTGTTTTACATAATATGTAAAATCAAGTAAAATATTCACTCTTACGGTCCATTCGATGCTCAAAATATTTTCGCGTGTGATTATATTGTGTCAATTGTGTCATTAATTAAATGTTAATTAATATCGTTCGCGATAATTATGATTATTATACGTTGTTGATTATGTTCGCGAACATTGCCTAAATATAATAAGAGAATGATTTTCATATGGAAAAATACCTTGTTAAGTGATTCAAAAGTTAATGACGACCAGTGCTAAAAATAAGTAGGTACTACAATCCCTCACTTATTCAATTACCGCTAGCTTTGGAGAGCAATTACATTAAAATGCATACGCTGTTTAGTGAGCAAAATGCTTACTATAGGCACGCAACAGCCGTTCCGATGGGCATGGGTACCCCATCCTATCCAAGTGTTGGAGCTGCTCCAGGCTATTATGAGGCGCAATATCGTTACGGTAGTTACGCGACAGCTGCAGGTTACCCCGTAACGGGCATCACGCAACAACACATTCATCACCCAGGCAAAGATATGGTCAAACCTCCGTATTCATACATTGCCCTAATTACCATGGCAATTCAGAATGCGCCAGATAAAAAGATTACCTTAAACGGTATATATCAATTCATAATGGAAAGATTCCCATACTATAGGGAGAATAAACAGGGTTGGCAAAACTCAATTAGGCATAATCTAAGTCTAAATGAATGCTTTGTAAAGGTACCGAGAGATGATAAGAAGCCTGGAAAAGGTAGCTATTGGTCATTAGACCCTGATAGCTATAATATGTTTGACAATGGTTCATATTTGAGACGCAGAAGACGATTTAAAAAGCAAGATGCTTTGAAAGAAAAGGAGGAAGCAATGAAGCGACAGAGTCTCATCCAGACAAAACAACGAGGAGATGATAACAAAAACTCCTTAAATATTGTAGTACAAACCACGGGAGATTTAACGAATTCCAATAGTAAAAAGCACTTAGATCAAAGTGTATTATGTAAACCCAAAAGGGAACCCATTAATGATCCTATCTCAACAACGCATTGTTTGGTTAGTAGCAAGTACCACAATCATCATAGTCCTATCCAAGATAGCAAGAATATAACTAACAACAATGTCCAAAGTGTCATACAAAGTTCCCTAGTGCCAAATCATCAGAGCAATCCCCACCATCAACAACACCATCAAAATCCAACGATTCAAGATGTATCGATGGCTGGGCTTGATCCAACGAGTTTCAGCGTAGACGCTCTTATGACTAATAACCGAGATACGAACAACCAGATGATAAGTAGTCAACTCGCAAGAGATCATCAACAGCAACATCATCAACAACATGGGATTCAGCAACATACACATGGGTCGCACAGTATAATGGCAACCCGTCCAGAACCAACTATGGGGGGGAGTGTCGTCTCGGCCGGTGTCAACACAAGGGATCTGGCGGCTGTTGTAACAACGTCAACCACTGCAACAACATCATCCGTCGCTGCTATGATGGCTTCTTCCGGCTATGGACACGTAACGACCAGTAGTATTGCTAGAGCAAATCCATCGCCGTCTTCCAATATGTATCCAGCGTACTGCCCGTCGGGATATATTATGGATCACACGGAATACAATTCAACTTCAAGGAGTCACAATAGCGTAGGACACGCGCAGTGGTATCAAGAAGCTGCAAGTCCAGACACCGCAACAATGTATCAGGAAACCCAGTCGCCCAGTTGTCAATTATATAGGTAAATCAAGTTAATTTTAATTATTTATTCTTTTCATTCGAGCATTGTATATTTATAACAAAATAATTCCATTCATAGGTGTATTATTCTATAAAATATTATTTAATATATTTCTTCGAATTAATACCTTTTGTAAAATTAAAAGTATACAAAAATATAAAACTATTTATCAAAAAAATTATATCTAAAAATATTTAATATTACTTAAGTATTAATTAGTTTAATATTACTTAGTATTAATTGCTTTTCATAAAAATTAATATTTAAATAATCAATCATAATGTAAATATACAAAAATTCAATAATTTGAATTAAAAAATATTTTTATATATTTATTAAATTCAAATATTAAATAAAGTATCAATTAATAACTGTAAGGACAATACTACTATAGTAAAATATAAAATATATCATTATAAAATATGTGTGACAGATAATAAAATTCATAAATGTAATAAACGCATATTATTAATTATAGATCTGTTTTAAAATTAATCTTATACAAAACTAATTTACGTAAATTTCATGATTATCTGGAACCCGTTACGTTCTTAATTTATTTGAAATAAAATAATATAAAAATTCTTTTCCAAATAAAATATTACAAATTTTTAAAAGCATTATATATATACCCCAATAAATGTAAAATTTTATTACGTATAATATTTATCTTTAATTCTAAATGCATATATACTTAAATCCGGATTAAATATGATTTTAATATTGTTAATTTTTTTTTACTATTTTAATATTTTAATTTTTAATATTTTATATTTATAATATACAACAATTTATAAAGTATATATTTAAATAACGAAAAACTTATTTCACTTATTTGATAAACTTGTAATATCAAGATCTTGAACCACAATTATTAAACAAGTGCAAATGAAATTTAAATGTACTTATAATTGTTAAAATTTCAAAATATTAAGCTAAATGCAAGGATATTCACAATTGATCAGTTTTCGTTTTGTCACGTAATAAAGCTCATAAATAAGAACTGTGACTTATTTTTAAAGATAATAAATAGCTGCATAGTTATTGAACTTTGCGTCATGCAAAATTACCAACGTAATCGAAGGAGGCGTGAAAGTGTTGAAATGGGTAATTTTTACGTCGTCCATCATCAGCACCTAATAAAGAGACATCGGAAGTTGCCGCCGTCGCGCATGTGGTTGCTATATTTTTTCCTCTCCATTTACGTCCTCACGATCGTGTTAGTCGACGGAATGGCTTTTACGCCTCTAGAGGATCTTTGACGTACCGTCGGCTTGATGATATCTCAGTGACTCTCGGAAATTCGCAGCGTACCTTTTGTCAGCGCGAAAGGATAAGGAAAAATTTTAGAAATGAAAAAATAATAAATATTCATTGATTGACATTTTATTTAGAGCCGGTTCGACGACCTTTTAATTGCAAGGTTATAGATTCATGATTTAAAAAAGAGCGAAAAAAGCAAAATAACACCATAATGTTTAAAATAATTTTCAATTAAGCATGGTATTTTTTAACATAGTTGACAATAAATTATGATCATATAAAAGATTTTTGACGAGTGATAAAAAATTTGTTTTTTATATTTTACGTAGAAATTAATTGTCGTGTACAAGATTGTTTATATTTAGATCTTTTGAATAAAAAATAATCAAAATTAATGCAATTTATTTAAGCGTATTAATATGATACATATTTTATTCTAGTAATTATTTTCCGCAGGATTATTTAAAATATTTATCGATCTAGTACTTCATTAACTGTTGCAATTTTTCATATAACGTCGTTTAAAAAATATAAAATAGCTCAAGGCAATTATTAAATTTTCATGAATGAAGTTATTTATAATCAATCTAAAAATAAGTATTGTAAATTTTATCATTATTGGAATGAAACGTATGTTTTTCAAACAACCATTTTTTCTATGTGCTTTATCTCATAATTTCTAATTGTCCATTTATTTAAAAATTAAAGAATTACAAATCGTTTACGTAATTACATTTTTGTAGATTAAATTTTTATTTATAATTTAATAATATTTGTAATTATGACTTTATAAAAAAATTAATGTATTTAAAAAGTAATAATTAAAAGTAGTTGCCTTGAAAGTTAGCGTTAATATAAAAATTTACAGCAATAAAAATGATTGATCTCCTTTATACGAATGCATTAATATTGTTCCATTTTTCTAAAATGTCATCCAATGTAGCTCTTTTGTTTTATAAATTAATATTAAACTGAAAACGCAAAATTTTTAAGATTGATATTTAAATATTTAATTAAAGTATTAGATAAATATGAAATAATAACTGTTTCAATCTTATTACATTGAAGAAATTTAAAAAAATAAAATTAAAAATGTAAGCCTCTAATTACAGATCAAGTCCGCCTACACCTCTATCTGGAGCTGCACCATCACCTCCTCTGTATCATCGCTATTATCAGGACTGCAATGCCGTCAACACCAGTGGTAATCTACCTATAACGCTGCATAAATACTGAGAATATAGATATTCAAGGCCCTATAATCGGGATCTTGAAGAACGCCAGCAACAAGGAGCTACCGATATTAATACTGGTAGTAACAATCCCTACGATCCTAATTTGATCTACGTCAAGCAAGAATGGATACCAACAGGTGATGATTTCTCTAAGGAATGGAATTGAATACAAGAGATTTTTTGAGAAAATGAGGTAGATGATTGTAAAAAAAATAAGTGAAATTCATACATTGTTAAATTGTTAATATTGTGTAATGAATCATTCTTAATATTGACTAGTTGAAAACAAAGGAATGATTGACATTGTTTTCTTTAAACATAGGAATGACAATTGACATGACTCAATGGTAAATATATTAAAATGATTTATTAATTTAACATACAAAATAACTTGAAATATAGATCTGATTTTCTAAATTTGCTGTTCCTATTATAAAACTATACTTAATCGAGTATTAAATCGAGTTGTTCTAATAAGTTTTGCATTTAATCAATATGCAAAAGAGCAATTCTCAATTTCTAAAAGTGAAAAAGTAAAGAAACTTTAAATATAAAATTATTTCGGATTACAGTTGAGTTCAAAATATAATTTATAAAAATTGTTATTTTAAATTATTTAAAAAAGATAATAATATTCAGAAAAAGATAATCGAAATAAATTAATAATTTATATAATAAAAATTTTATTTCACTTACAAATGTCTGAATGTGGAGTAAAAATAATAAATAATTATTTATATCTAGATCAGTATATCAGTATATATTAATGCTTATAGTATGAAATTTTTCGTAATACATTAAAATTATAAAACATAAAATTTGTTATAACTTTTATCGAAAATTCATTATCAATCGATTACAATTATTATTTATAATGGTATAATTACTATTATAATAATTAAATGAAAACAAATATATCTTCTTCAATCAGCTTTATTTAATGAATGATTTAAATTGTATACTTTAGAAGGAATTTGAATAGCACAAATACTTGAAAAGAAATATGTTTCTTTTTTATTTTGTATAAATTTCAAGCAGTCGCTTGAAATTATCAATTGACTTACATTATGATTTTTCAATTGATGCAATTAAAAAAAATCATTCCTGTGAAAATATTAAAAAATCAGTTGTAAAGAAGAACAGTAAAAAAACAATGATCGCAAAATACATTCACTCTTGATCGGATATTTTTAACCTCATACGCGACTAATTCATTAATTCTTTCGGAGTATATATGAACCATAGATTAAAATTATATTATTGCATTACTATTTAGTATTTGTTTCTGTTTTATTTAACATCTATCCCTTCAAATCAGAATAAAAATGAATTTATATAGTTTATTTTTTCATTTTCGTTTTTGTACTTTATTGTAAAGGTTTGTCTATTTTTCATATTCCTGATTTTTTTAATAATAAACCCTCATAGTACAAAAAATAAAATAATTAATATTTTCTCTTTATAAATTTTAAAGATATTTAATTCAGAAACTAAATCATTACATCATATTTTTTAAATAAAAGTTAACTTTAATAGTGACTCAATTTATATACTGAACAGTGAAACAATTTCAAACTAGTAGTTAACAATCTTTTTATATATTTTTGAATAATTTGAATTTAAGTAAAGTAATTAAATTGAAGTTGGGTTCAATAACAATATAAAAATATTTAGAAGCATTTCATTAGCATATTATTAATTATTTATAATGAATCTTATTATTAAGAAATATTTTTCCAAATAATAATGCAAATTATAACAAAACTTTCGTAGTTATTTCATGTATGAATATTTTTGTCGATTTTTAATATTGATTGCTTAAAACAAAAATAAATTTACATCTATACGTTGTTGTATAAAATGGTCTTATTACGACATATTGACCTTTGTATTATAGGACTGTAATAAATGAAAATCAAAATTCGTATATGTATAATTCGATTCATGTGCATTTATAAAAAGAAAGAGCTGAGATATATTTATTGATATGTAGTTGATAAAAAGACACGATGGAAAAATAGTGTGAATAGATAAGAAATATAGATTAAGTATATACATATATTATATATAAACACATTGGCGTTTAATAAAAATTCAGTTCTTGATCGCGTTTTAGTACATTGTGTACTGCGTCGGGCCTAAAAAGGTGAATCTTTGACTTGACGATGGGGTGAAGTTCTAAAGGACAAGTGTGGGGATAAGGTCTATATACGGAATGATACGGGGAAATTTAGTCCGGGATTAAGTAACGAATGTTTTTCGTTGTCTACTTTAGAAAGAATCCGAATCTCACAAATACTTTTTTTATTTAATTTAAATATAATTCTCTACTTCGAGCATTAAACTACAAAAAAAATAAAAATAAAGAACACATTAAATTAGAAATATATTGAGCTTTTATTCACATAATAAAATATTAACTGAATTTAATTTAATTTGTCGGCCATTTTTAAACTTCGAAGTATAATTAAAACTCGTTAAATAAGTGAACTCATATTCATTAGGAATTATGATTGCAATAAGAGAACCTGAATTCACTCAGGTTAACTTAAAGTATATGAGTGATCCAAAAGGTTATTTGATGAATTATGAATTTGGTAATAAAGATAAAACACATTTGTAAAGTGTGTCATTTTTTCAGCATAGTATTCAACGTACTAATTGCAAAGGGAGAGTGATTTCTATCTACTTTTTGTAAGGATATCACATTCTGCATAAATAAAAAATGAATGTCGTTGTATCTCATAGTCAAAGATTAACTTTTTTTAGCTCATAAGTAGTTAGATCTCTGTGTGTATTATAATTGAAAAACGAGATTGCAAATATCTATAGAAATCTTGTATAGGAAACATAGCGTGATATATATGAATATATTATTATTAATATAATTATTAATAGAAAAAAATTGGCGAATATATGATGGAAAATCGGGGTACGCAATCCCGGGAAGATAAACTATATTATTGTAATATTATTAACATAACATATATTAGAAAATGAAAATGTTCAAAAATAAACATATTATTGATCGAAATTCATTCAAATTGTATTTTCTTTAATACCTTTTATTTTATTTTTTCTATATTAGTACAAAATATTCTATTTATATTAAATAAGTAATATCGATAGTTTTATAAAAAATAACATGTGAATACTTATTAGTATATATAATAATTATTTAAACACAAAATTAGTGAGTTATGAAAATAATTAAATTAATAACAATAATACAGAATTAGGAAAAGAGTGTGAAAATGAAATAAAACGTTCTTGAAACATTTCGACTTGTATGCAATATACGTAGAATTATATCAAGTTGACAAATGCTCAATACGAGCAATAGAAAGCGACAATTAATGTAGAGATGATAATAATAAGGGGCTACTCTAGGGGACATAATACCAACGAACAATGCGATCAGCCGCACGGACAAGTTTCAACGCAGCGTACGAGGCTTCTATCTTCCTTCCTTTTCTATTTCGCCTTCGCAAAAATGAAAGCCCCCCGTCTTTATCCGAAGCACGTGTTTTGGCAGATGCATCGTAGTTAAATCCAAATCTCGCCCCGCAATGGACTAACTGAGTCGGCACTTCGAGGGCTGCAGCTCGTTCCTGTGCTCGGATGCAAAAGCTACAACAGTACTGCACTGCAATGATTTACATTGCAAACAATTTAAACACTATTCTGACTTTAAAGAAACTGAGTCCCAAGAAATCGTATATTCCTCTGATTATCACAATGATATCAACAATAATATCTCTGCGAATTAATTATTAATATTGCTTCTATTTGTGTTCTAATGGGCGATAATACTTTAATTAGTAGTATATTTTTATTTTTCAAATAATATATGTTAATTATATTATTCTATGAATGTATTTTAAAAATTTAAAGATATTTGATGAATATTTTCAGCGCCGTATTTTTTTGTTTTATATATTATGAAGCATATAGCCATCTAACAAATACATTATTAGGCAGAAATTGTGACATTGTTCCAATAATATACAGACAAATATGGTATACGTAGGAATAGGAAATTAGAAGATCTAAAATCTTCTGACGTATTTATTGCTTATGAAAATAAAAAATCGATCTTCTCTAAGAGTATGCCCATATTGCAAAAGTTGTTAACAAAAATGCAATAGTAAATTTACAAAATAAATTAAAAATGTTTAAATTATTAAAATTTTATACGTGGGTTTTTAGTTCTATAAATTATTTATTTTATAGTATTTAGTTTTATAAACTTTCATAATTTTATGGTAAATGTGTCAGTTGTTCGATTTCAAAATTAAAAAAATAGATCTAAAAACACTCTGATAATTACTAAAATAGTTCAAAATATATCTATAGTCTACTAACAATAAATTATTACAAATTTTTCAAGCTTTGGTTTTTTATGTACCTATGTTTGTTTTTTAGTTTATAAAAGCGAAAGTAAAAATGTGAAAGAATGACTTATGCATAGAAAAAGGAAAGAAAGAAACATAACAGTACACTTTGAACATAATTGATAACTAAAAACAAAATATTTGCAAATTCAATTGATAATTACATTTTCGTGGTTAATCACAATAAGAATCCACAGAGTTGCCTTTGAAAGTATATTCAATATATCTTGGTTTATAATTTGTTGGATTACGAATTCCAATTTACATAGCCCTGCATGTGAATATTAGAAAGTCCAGCTGCAATTCCAGAGATCTCAAGAACTCGGATACATTGACTTGAAAATAATTTTAATATCATGTATTTTTTCAAATTAACTATATCGAACTTTTCAATAATAAAGGAATAAAATATATATTTATAAATTAAAATCATACCTTATATGTATAATATATTAATTATTTAACAATTCGATCGATAATGAAATTTGTACAACGAAATTCACCTAACAAATGAGAAAATTTTGTTTAAAGATGGAATAAAATATTTTTGTATAATTAAAAACTGTTCGCATGCACTCGAATACACAATAAAGTAGTTGTGTGTTTTAGATCCCGGTGGCGTTATCGCAAAAGCAGTTAGGGTGCGTAAGTTAAGTCCCCCCTTTCGTTGCTTCTTTTGTATTCGTTTTCTTTGCCAACAG